TGTACATCCATCTGTTTTCGGTTAGTTACCTTTTACCACAGCGCTTGGCCATTCTTCGTCTCCAACTTGCGTGTCAAGAGAAAGCTGGTGTCAGCAACTGTTACTTTCCAAGTTGTTCGGCTAATGAGAGCGAACCGACGGGTTCAACAGCAATTTAGAGCGAGCGTTTCTCACTAATAAGTTTTTCTACAAATCCGTTGTTTTGAAAAGACCAGATTAGGAACGGACAAGGAAATGAATACAGAATAGGAAACAACGGAATAGCAGGAGAGAGAATTGAATGGAAATTATGCTGGGCCCATACAACAGGTGAAGATGGTGGCCCAATTATTCAAGTAAGTAGTGCTGCCTTACTAACAGCAGGCAAGAATAGGAAATAAATCTAATTCGTCATTTCAAGATTTGATTTCAACCGATTTTCTTTTCTTCCTGCGCGAGGAAGATTTTTTCACAAAAAATGCGATTGTCTGAGTTCCTGTAAAGCTGTTGGACAATACCACACTGCTTTATTCCGTTGACACTGACATAATGAATTATTTACTATGCTTAATAACGAGAGAGTTCGAAGTTTAACATGAGAAGCTGGAATAGCCTATCTGTTTTTTCTTCTACCATGGGTTCCGATATGAGAATATCAGAAGTTCTGCTAAAGTGTACAGTGACGATGGAGCCAGCTAAGTGATCTGGCAGTTGACAATGACACGCAAAGAATAGGTATGTAAAAAAAATTGCCATCAATTCACAACTCTTATTTATAATCGTCTGCGGATCACTATCCCTTGAACGGAATTAGTAATCATTACCAAATTTTCCTCACTAGTGCATTATCCTCCTAGCGGTTTGCCGCCTCATCCTGGCTGTTCCTGGGTGTCGGGTTGCGATGTACAGTGAAGGGATTCCTTCACCCAACGCGACCTCGCAAACCAGGAAGGAGCGCGGCGTTTCCGTTAGGAAGCTCGGCTAAGAGTAAACCAATACTAGGATCCACCATCGCCCTAGTACCAAGCTACTGGCATGTTGCCAAATCTCTGATCCACCAAGGGAGGCGACTGGCTGTGGTGGTGACGACCTAGAGCGGACTTTCACTAATCTGAATTGGGGACTCCAGAGAACTACCACGGCTAAATCAGCAAAGCTCCGAAGAAAAAGAGAAATTACGCTGTGGTTCGCGCAACCAGCGAAGATAGGTCAACCAAGTATAGAGGCATGTTAATTCCTGGCCTTAATATTCAAGAACTCATTTCCAGGCAGTCAAGAGAGAGAAGATAATGTCCCTGATAAAGGGACAATATTATAGAAATTGAATCTGTTGCTCATTCGGGTCCTATTTTTCTCTTTAAAAAGGCGTTATTAAATTGAATGTATGTCTCTGTAAAAATATTAGAAATTTCTCAAATAAATTCTCTGCATATGACTTCTATGATGCTGAGATATTTACAAAACTCCCGACCGCAGGTGTTCGCAGTAAGGAACAGACGTGCTATTACCCATTCGGGGGGCTAACGCGTTCACCACAACACCATACAGGCCCTTCGTTTCGCTTGTCTCTCAGCCAGTTCTATCGATCACTGCCATAAGCAATCACCCGTCAGCTGGATTAATCTAGAAAGCCCAAATAAACCCCACTGATGGGTGGTTGCCGATGGCAGTGATCGATAGAACTAGCTGAGAGACAGGCGAAACGAAAGACCCTTATGGTGTGGTGGTGAACGCGTTACTCCCTGGAAAGTACAACAGCGCGTTCGTTCCCCACCACAAACACCTGCGGTCCGGAGTTTTGCAAATATCTCAGCATCGTGGAATTTATATCATACCCAGCCATTAAAAAGAGTAGGGAATGAACAAAATCGTTAAGATTGTCTCCATGTGATTCCAAAGAATATAGGAGATTACTTGGTTTTTTAAGTATTAAAATCAATGCACATCAAATAATCTGTCTCTTCTGGATGCATTGAGATTAATACATGTTGTTGAGAAAGTAATGATGTGCATCCGATTTGTTCTTCAATGCATAGCGAGTCCGAGGTTCTAACGTGCCCTGTGTCAACGAAGCCTTGTATGAACACGATGCTCTTCACCAACATTGTCAGTCATTCTTGATTGAGCACCCTTCCGTGAATCAGCGAGCACAATACAAGCTTCCAATGTGGAAGCATATTTACGTTTATTTTGAGAGCTAAAAATTTATAGTCGGAAATTTTAGTGACCAAGTTTTTCAAGAAAAAATTCGAAATAGAAGGAGAAATGAGAGTGAAATAAACCCTGTCAGATGCATATCGATAGCACAGATTTCCTATGCTAATTCGCTTTTTAAGACGGCAATTGTCTGTAAAAGTGAGTATTGCCTAAAGGTAAGGCTAAGATAAAATGCTACTGCAACCTTTCAAACAGCAGATGGTTCCTGTTCAACACTTTGGTGATGAAGTCGCTACGTAGCTCTATTAGTGCAATTATTACGCAATGAAAACCTACCATTTGAAATTCATACGTAGATCAGAGGAATGAGAAAGGTACCACGAAAGGTTAAGGACTATTGCTCAGAAAAACCAGAAAATCCAATGAAGTTCAGGCTGCATCTTTCTCATCACAAAGGACTAGCGTGAGAATTTGTTCTAGACTTCACCAAAACGGCAGAACTCACCTGGTTGGTGAAAAATGGAGGTCTGCTGCAACATGTTAAAGGCATAAGGAGATAATTTACTCTGAAATCCATCATGTCCCTACTTAAGCCAAGTGGTCTCAACATTGGATCTCCGTTATCTTGGCAAGATGCCATTTCTGCAGTTAATTACATTCTTAAATTGCCATAACAGACTAAAAACCATTGCTTTCTAGTGTAAAGCTACCACTAATACATTTTAGTGTTGTTTGAGTTGCGAAAGCATTTGGAGTAACAAAATTTCCATTCCAGTCAAAATCAAACGTGATTTCATTTCAGGTGAAAGCGGTAAGCTAAATGCGGCTTTTATTATAACCGTACAAGGTTAACTATTGCACATAAAAAAGACTGTGTATAAAGTCAATTCAATGTACAAGAATGGATCTCGAGCAAACTTATTCCATGTGGACCGTATCCCACCATATATCCAAAGTCAAAAAGTGCCTAGCTACCGTTGGTCCTAACTTCCGTAAAATACGAAAAAATTCCGCCAATGTCAGCACTCATCGGTCGATATTTTCAGAACCGGCATTCATGTAAACTCGATGTGGATAATCGATCTCTCACTTTACTGACAGGCTTGCACGAACTTGTTCGCAAAACTCATTCTTGTAGCAAACGTCAAGACGCCATCGATTTCCTCAGACAGCGATGACCAGAGTCGAGTAAACATATCAGCTGCTTCTGCGGATCGCATCAAGGTCAAGCAAGTAAACTGAACACGAACTAATGAGATGGCTAATAGGAATGAAACAGCACTGCTGTTTCGTAAAGAACCATTCATGCCGATGGAATGAACTGACTTGATCAGGCACTTCCCCACAATACAAATCGGTCCTTGCTCGATTTTGTCAATCTTAGTAAAAGTAAATAGTGAAGAGAAAGAAACTGAAAGCAATTGAATGATTCATCCTTGATATTGAGTGACGCTGATTCCTTATCAGGTCAATGTCTACAACATCGTGTTATTGATTGGCAGTCTTCACTAGAATCTTCTCCTGTTTCGTTAAAGCAGTTCCTTCAGTGTATATCATGTTGAATGCTTCAATTCGAGCTTAAAGTAAAGGCTGAGTTCTGCATAGTGAAGTACTATGACGCTACTTCCATCGACTGTTCAATGTCAGATATGCTTCGACTCGGCCGATGGTCTTCATTTTGCTGTAAACGCTTGCCGGTGCGGAAAATTTGTGCCCTTTCGCTTTATCTTATTTAATTAACACATTTGTCTTATTGCTTTCCTAAATTTGTAAAAAGAAAACCCGAGAGTGTTTTTCTCAGCTGGACGTTTCCCTACGAGTGTCTAAAGATTCGAAACGAAATTCAATTACTTGCTACTTCGAAGATATCATTACCGATAGATATTCCTTCATTAGTGGAGCTATCCAAAAAGTAGCACAAAACGATTTATATCAGATTTATAGGGCATGTGCAGCGTTTTTCCGCCGGACAGTGGCGTTAGACCTTCGTTATGAATGCCGTTTTGATGGGAAGTGCCACATTGAAAAGTGTAAGAACGCATCAATTACATTGAAATTCTAAATGGACTCCTGTAGATCAGAATGAAAGTGGTGCAAATAAAGCTTAAGGCAAACAATCACTTAGTGTTGAGTCATGCATTCGGCTTCATTGAGCGCAGTAGAGGTGAATGAGTGCAATGCATATATGGCCTATAGAATAACTTGAGGTGGTTTATCGATGCGTCAGTTCAGTGCTGGTATCCTCTCAGACGATTCTGATACCATTTTGTCGACCCCAGGGATACGGAGGACTTGGTTTGGCAGAACAATGGAATGATCGAAATAAAGACCCTATGCATGTTGCATATCACTTTTAGCAATTTCGCTACAAGCACTCCAATGCAATTAATGAAGGAATGGGTGACGTTTACAAGTAAATAAGGAATAAAGGAATAAAGCATATTAAAGACAAAACATCTGCTTTCTTATCCACCGCGCGAGCTTCTCTCAGAATAACAAAACGCCACCTGTTATTAACAAAATAAATATTACATTCGTATTTTTAAGCAGAATATGATCTTCTTCATCATTATTATAAAAACTTAGAAGTTTATCAAATGTTATGATCGCATTAAATGTTTCTTACTGGATGTTTATATTGTTCGCGCTTATATAAAAAGAATACAGGTCGTCGTTGAATTTCCTTTCGATCACTAGTTTCATTTTTTTTTCTGGATTTCCAAGCTCCTAACTGATGACGTTAAACGAAGTTGTTAGGTAGTTGTACATTTATTTTTTCGAAAGGGTTCCTGTAAACTCAGATGCCGAGCACCTCTCTGCAATCTACCTCTGAATTGGTTTAGTTCCCTGCAAATGATGTTCTAATGTGTCCAAAACAGCCATTAACAGAGAAGACTGATCACAGATTCATCCTCAGAGGGGTGTCTGAATCTGAGAAGATGCTCACTCGGAAACGCAGGTGAGAGCATATCTATACTACCTCGCAGTTATTTGTGACTTAAGAGATGAAAAATTAACCGGCGGTTTTCGAAAAAATGAAAACTGTTTCTGTACAGATGTTTTTCTTCAATAAGCAGACACGAGGTTGTTATTATAGAATTTATTAGGATACAATAGCCGACGTTTCGGAGGTTTCGCCTTCTTCAGAGCATGCCAAGGTTAGATCGACCAAAGTGCCAGCAGAATATTTCCGACTTGTAAAAGAAGTTCTGTCACTAAGACAAAAAATTGTCTTAGCTAGACAAACGATACTCTTTCTATGCCACTGTCTGAAACACCGAGTTGTGCCGAACTTCATCAAACGTAAACGGCTACACGATATATGCTGCCTACCAAGGGACAGCCAACTTGTACTGGACATCGAAACGCGACTACTACGCGCCTCTCTTCGATGCAAACAGGGCACCATGTACGCGCAATTGAAGAAGTGCAAGTCGAAGGAATCTTATTGTGTTCAGTATTTGGAGGATTCCCTTTAGAGGAGAATAGTGGACTCTGAGGAAGGCGAAACCGTCGAAACGTCAGCTATTGTATCCTAATAAATTCTATAGTAATAACCTTGTGTCTGCTTATTGAAGAAAAATATCGAGTCCCAGCTTTGTTTCACAGCGGAGCTTTGGGGGAAGAAGCGAATTTTTTCCGTCTTTTTTGGAAATGATATAACCCCATATGCTGTATTCTATGTCTGGTTGAGCTCTTTATCACATTCGTTGAGCCATGTGAGTATGCCTGTAATGTTTACAGAATTCGAAGACGGGATGCTTTCCTTTGATACTCATCGCATAAATGGTTTTTCTTCTTCATATGAACTCGATCTTCTTCTGACTTACTCGTAGTCCTTTCCGTTTTCATTTTCATCCTGCTCTGTACGTTTTGTTCTTCTTAAATATCATGGAGAAGTTGTAATGATGCCAGGATGATTATAATTTTTAGAGAATATCCATGCCATCACTCTTTTAAGAGAAATAGGGGACCAGAATTATTTTGATACGATTTCCATAAAAATTAGGTCGTAGAGAGACTTTCGCGAGATCGGACCAGATTTGCGTAGACAGGAGCTAATCAAATGCTATTCGTTTTTAAATTTTTACTCCATTTGAGTAGACGGAAGACCACTAAGACCATGTTAATGCATAAAAAGGGAATAGCTCATGACATCGGCAACAAACGCCCAATCTGTCCGCTGTTTGTTCCCTATAAACTTTCAGTTCGTGTCATTCGAAAGGAATTGAGTACGATGAGTCGTATTCACACGATTACGAGATTTATCGAAGTATCCTGAGAGCGCAGAAGACCATCTTGTCCCACCACGAATTGAGAGAGTGTTTGGTGTAGTCAAGATAGGAGTAGTGATAGAGTAGGCTCTGGGCGGCCTGGGTGCTATTCAGAATATAAAAATTCGTCGTTAGCTATCCAACAACTTTTCAAATCAGAATATCGCCATTACACATCAATGTTACGATGGATCTGAAGTGACTATAGGTTTTAGTTCTCAAATCGGTTCGTCAAAAATATGGTCACATGGATGTTCTACAATGTCGGAGTGCGGATCTATCTCATAGAGGGTATCTCTCATGCTGCTTATTGACGAAGTAGCAATACGCGACCCCGAGTTACGGATGCAGCGGGGTTAACCATAAGCTAAGAGCGAGTTTTTTCTGACAAGCAGATGAATCCAAGGGATGGACTCGCTGTTTCTGCTACCTTAATTTGGTACATACCTTCTGTATTTTGCAAGGACGTATTCATGCGTGCATGTGTTGGTGTGTTCTCGTTCCTACAGATTGCATTCCACGAGCAAATTCGGCCAAAAGCTTGCATGACGAGCATGGCAGCCCGTAAGAAGAATTTCATCCACGGCCCAGGCAGTATTGTGCCATCGAGCCACATTGCAGCACAAAAGTACTTTGATATCCCTTCAGACGATTATGATAACAAGAAAATCATAAGGTGTATCGCGCGCAGTCATCATTTATAGAATGGCAAAAGCAAACGAGTAGACTATGTCGGTGTTTAATGATCTGAGGAATCTCAAACAACGTGTTGCAATTATTGACCACGTTGTTGTAAATATTAGAAAAAACGCTAGTTGTTACATACATCCTATAAAACTAGTAGATAAAGAGATGGTTTTCCTCAAGCATATAGAGCTGCGCTGAAAACTAAGTGCATATTTAAACAACGGAACAAATGTAACAAGAGCAAAACGACAACGGCGGGTTTCTGAAAAGGCGATCGTTTTAGTAGCAAATTTTCGACCATTTCATCGATTCCGAGTCAGAAAACTAGGAGAATTTTACGATGAGCTATACTCGTAAGAGTTGCGAAACTTCTTTTCTCCAGTGGTTACTCAAAATGAAAATAGAACAAGCGGAAACGTGATTAGAAACGACTAAGCGCATTATACCACGTTTTCAGAAGAGGCAACAGTCGAAAAGGAGAGCGGAGAAGAAGAGCGTATCCTCCCACGTAAGCAATACGCGAATCGGGACAAAGCCCTCCATTCAAGAAACTGGCAGTTACCTGTAGAATTATATTTGAAAACAGGGAAACGACGAGAGGATCGGCTTCTCAGTTGATCGCTTGGGCTATAGCTATCCAGTTGTCGTCACGCAATCATGAGCTGGAAGATGGTGCTAGAATTGAAACAAGGACGTCGAAGTGACGATGTGTTAGAAAATGACGATAAGGTTGGTGGTGTGTTTTCGTCTAGAATCTTTCCAGTACAAGATAATACTTATTACTTGCTCACTAAAATTGCGAGACGTACAGGTTTTCTGTGCCAATGAGTGTATACTATTTAGTGCACTGATTAGATACGTTTTGGTTTATGTGGAAAAGGCTTCGAAAACTAATTGCTAATAGAGGTGCATTAAATGCCATGCATAGGTCCATGATTTACAAGATAGCATTTGCACATTCTGTAATATAAGTTGAAGTTTTGACAGCTTTTGCGCAGTTTGGTCCAAGTGCACGTAAGTGTGAATTTGCAAGACTGATTTGGTTCAAATGGCCATATTTGTGACTTTGTAATAGGTCTTCATTTAGAATGAAAAAGTGGTGCTCGAGTTGAAGAAAGTTGCAAGTGATGATGATGGAAAGGGCAAGAATCTTCGTTTACTGGACCATCGGGTAGTTTTTGCCATTCTTCTTATTCTGTCTACAATGTGGTTAGTCCCAATCGAGAATCTCGTATGAGTGTATGTCAATGCGCAAGACCCGAAGTTTGAGCAGGTGCGGGATGGAATGTATTAGACTTGCGGGCAGCTTCTCTGCTTATTTTAGGAGTGGGTGACTCGTTTGTGTAGAAGTGCTTTCGATTATATGTTTAGAAAACCTAGTAGAACATGAACCAAATGCTCGGCATCGGTCACCATGAATGGCATAGGAAAACGTTGCGCACTGTATTTATCATATTTGTGAAAGTGAGAGAAAAAGCGTCAATTACCGACCTATATCTAATACCATCTATAAAAGGCTTGTGAGTAATTAGTGTCGCACTTCTAGTGGTGCGGTCAGTCAATCTTTAACACCATTCGCAAACTTTTTGTTTTATAAACACCGTTGAAGAATAGGTTGTTGAGTTAACTTGAAGCAATATTCGTAAAAAGTTAAGCTATATTTTATTTATTTGTTTGTTGGTTCAAGTGGTTGGGCAGACTTTTCTTCCACTGGGAAGCTGTCGTATAGCACTCCGAAGTTATCACCATTTGATAACCAGTGACTACCTTGTTGCCAGCGCTGCAATGATTGTTGGCAATTAATCGAGCTTCCAGGTGAAAGTGTCGAATTCAGCTCGCGAGTTCTAACGGAGGCGTGGATACCTTCTCGGCACCGCATTTCGATTGTTCGGCAACCGTTAGACCACCAGTAATAGTTAGGCGGTAGCGTAGTGGAGGCTGGTTTTACTTACCAATGATGTAGGGAGGAGACGTTGGCATAACACGCTTTTATTTACTAATGATAGGGAGAACAAGCGCAGAACCAGTGCTCCTCACCACTTTTCAATGTTTTCAAACGCTGCGAAAACAAACACAAAGCAGAACGAGTGAGCAAAACAGGGTAAACTCTTACCATGAAAGCCGCTATGAAAGGTTTACGTGTCCCAACATCGCATCCATATTAACACAATTCTTTTTGTCAGCGTGCTTTGTAGAGATTCGAAATGTAGCACAACATAGTAGCACACAAAAGGTGCGGGTTTTTCTTAGTGAATGTTCGGGGATTTCCGTAATAAAAGCAATATACTATTACGAGAAACATTTCTAGGGTAAATTAGACACTGTCTTGCATGCACAAGAAAATAAGAAAGAGTTGCTGCAATTCCGTGGGAAGCGTGCGGACGAGGGATGGAACAAGAGTGGGACGAGCTTTAATTCTATATGGGCAGATGGCAACGAGGTCGCTTTTGACGTTACAAATTTAATCTTTGTGGCACATTTTATTCTTTAATGTTAGTTTTACATTCTAGTGCTTCGGTTCGACGACATGGAACTTCTGTAGCGGCTCCGAGCATTTGGGGTTCCAGATAGGTCTTGACACTGAGTTGGAAGTAAGTGAATGTGAATCTGTTCGGAAGTATTCGATGTATATTTTTGTATTAGGGTGGCATTCCTAGTATATTTCTGCTTAAGGATTTTATGATAGGTAATTTGGGGCTTTAATTTGTAACTCTCTATAGCTTAAAAGAAGAATTAATCTAGGACAGTTTTTAAATTTTTTCTTCAATTTGAGGACAGGTATTGGGTGAAATTTCTTCTACCTGACTCTGTGATGTGGTTTAGGTGATTTCAAGGAAGAAAAAGGAGGACAGTTCGTAGTTCCCAGTTATGACCTTAATGACCATCCACCCTCCATCAGTAGCAGAATAACTCAACGTAAAATTACAAAAATTTCCTAGGCATATTTCAAAATTTTTGGATGAAACAGCGACGGTGTTAATACTGTTTATATTTGATATAAAAAATGAGGCCATTTTTTTGATTAGAAACGATGAAGCGTTCTGTGGCTCAACGAAGCATTAGGTGCGATACACATATATCGTATTATGAGAAAGTTTAGTAAAGAGACAAACAACTCGTCGACAAAACCTTGTCAAAAAATTTTACAAGAGAAGTGATTAGTGAAAATTGGGGTAAATTTAACCATAACATTGGCCCCGGAAAGGGTAGTAGCGGGTAGCGGGTTCGTTCCCCACCGTGGACACGACACCTGCGGTCCGGAGCTTCGCAAATATCTCAGCATCATTGTGGTAGCACTTCGCATAATACCCTGCCGTGAAAATTTATAGCAGGCTGTGGATAAAAAGTTAACATTGGAAATAGACGGAACAGCGAAAAAAATTAGTGTCACGGCCGTTCTCGTTTTATCGGGTAGTCCTGGATTCTCCAAGTTGTTGTAGGATTTAGGTTGGACGCTATGCTGCAACCACGTGTGTTCTGGCTAATTTAAGTTAAATATCGGATAGAATATATAGTGAATGCAGAAGCTATGACAGTCGAGAAGAAGGAATGTTTATCGCGAAAATTTTTTACTGATTTATTAAGCAGTAAATTCTAGCCAGCGTTGTAGTTGACGAGATTGTAGGTCACGAGCAAATTATCCTATGAGGATGGTGAAATTTCTATCATTTTAATTCATACGGCTAACAATTGAAATTGCAAACAGTGTGTTTCGTTTGTTGATCCACCATATGATGCAGAATCCACAAATGGAAATATGTGGTCGTGAGCAGTTTGGACCAGGACTGAAGCCGTCAAAAGAGGTATGACGGTATCTCAGCATCACTTGCAAAACTCTTTCGCTGATCGTAGCACAGCTATGAGTGAAAGCACAATGTTCACCCATGTTAGGAATGGGACGAATTTTGTTTTTTTTTTTTAGAATCTTCCGCTCTTGGAACGAGAACGCTACTGTTTGTATTGCTATGAGAAGCACTCGGAAATGTGTGTGTCTGAAGGAAGGAATCCACCAAGTCTCAACAGCAGCGGTATTTGGCGTGGACACTGCATGAGAGATGAAAATGGCATCACGACGTATGCAATTTATAGCAACATCTAACATTTATATATTGCAGAAGGTGTAGGATAAAACGCTGGGCGTTAATACGTTGCTTAAAGGTGCAGCATGTATCCGCCACCATTAGGTATCGTGGTGGCTGTATCCACCTTCGGTTCTCACAATGAATAGCGTTAGCCTACAGATCTCCCAACTAGGTAATTTTTTTTGCCTCCAAGTACTGTACCAATTTGGACACCATGCCTTGATGGCGGACATGGTCTGACCGCTGCGCCGGATTGAACCAACGATCACATTTGCATTGTGAGACACTACTAACTATTGTACTATGGTTACGTCTTTGACTAATGGTTTTCCAGAGAAGTGCATATCTTCATGCTTACCCTTTGGCTAGGCACTTTTGATTACTTCTTTGATAAGAGATTACATTTACTTGCTGGACATTTACTTTCCAGATATTTCATGAGCGGTAGCCTTAATAACGGAATATCTTAGAAATGTTATTGTTTTCAAATTTACTGATAAGGTAATGGGATTTCTGTGTGAATTAGGTAACCATAAAGAATAATTTTACTCTTGCTCTATCATCTTTTGAGTTTTAGTTAATTGTTTGAAGATTTTGAGAAAATTGTACAGTTTCTGTTTAATATAATCAGTGGTGAGTTTCAGTTGTCCCCTTCTGTGGTTTACGAAATGCGGTCATTGTGGAGCTACGGCTGAAGCTGCACATCCGGAAAACCTTTGCCCTATGCTGACGTTTGGTAATCTTCTCCTCGAGAGCATGTAGTTCTGCATTTTCATGTTTTCATCTGTTCGTTTATTATCGTTCGCAGGATCATCCTTTGTTTTATTTTCCTCTTTCAATTTGTCTTCTATTTTGTTTTTAGTTTTTGACTTTTTTCGTTTTATATTATTTGCACTACTTCGGCCGGTTGTGTGACATTGTGGTTGCATCTTCAGCGTTTCATGCCCGGTTTACTTTGACGTAGTGACTTCTCATATCACCTGTTGTTTGTATTTATGGTATTGGTGTCTTCTTTTAACTGTTTAACAATTGCGTTTAATGGAATATTTTTTGAAATAAACATGGTTCTTGCTATGTTGACCGTTTTATATTCTTGCTATGAAACCCTCCCAGTGGTTTACCATCTCATTATCGCTTCGAGATGTTCGTAGGTAACAGGCTGCGATGTGCAACAGAGGGTTCATTCCCAGCAAGCCTCCTAAGCTGGAAAGGTGTTCGACGTTTCTAATCGGAAGCCCAGCTAAAAGTAAGCCCATACAGTGAACGCGTAAACCAGTAGCCATAAATCACGACTGTGCTACGGCTAGGCTGACCTCGAAACTCTAGTGAACCATAATGGCTAAACCAGCAAATATCCGGAATAGAACTTATGCTGAAGCTCGCAAAATCTATCTAAAAGACAGGCTATCGAAGCATACAAGTGAGTAACTATGAAACACTGAACATATTGCATGCGAGGTCTCCGTATACTGTTTTGGTTCCTACAAAATGTACAGTTATGATAGTATCTGTTTAAAACCGACTTGATTTAGCTGTTAGAGTTTTCGTGTGGTTTTGCGGTGGGTCTGTAAGAAATTTCACGTGGTCCCGTTTGTTACATGTTGATAAGACGTAGTCAGGTTTTAAAGATAGCCAAATGAACTAGAACATCAAGCAATGTGCAGATCATGAGGTTATTGTTAGTCATAATAAGGTATTTTTGTTAAGCCACACTCATTCAACTTCAGTATAAATATTCAATGTATTTTCATTCGTTGAAAAGCAAACCCAAGGTCACAAGAATTTTTTCGTCTAACATTGCGACGTCCTCGCCTCCTTTAGAACTGCGATGATTCGAGTCGATTGTCTGGAGATAATCAAGAGAAGAAAATATATTGAGGTCATGTAGATATGTTTGATGTTAATTCTGATATAGCAAGGAGTGCGATTAATTAAAAAACAAGGACTGCGTCAGCCTGTGGTGGTGACTTCCCCTCGTGGCAGACTTTGGCTAGTCTGAACTCGGGGCTCTAGCGAACCACAATAGCCAAACCAGCAAAACTCCGAAGAAATGGAAAATATGTTGAGATCCGCACAACTTGGGAAGACGGGACATTCAAATATCTAAGTTTGTAAAGTGAAAGCAAATATTTGAGGAAGTAGTTTATAGGATCGGAGCTACCCGTATAGATACAAAAAAGCATTTGGAAGATTGCAGAAGCTTAAAAAAGCATGTTGACTAGAGTAGCAATCGTTGAGCCAAATGAAGACAAAGCAAGACGAACACATTAACGTCAAACCTCATTTTTTGGTCTGAGTTCCCAACATCGGAATCACTTCCTTGAATTTCGATTTTCACACTGTTCACGGTCAGACCACATTGAATACCATTAAAGATCAGGAAAAAAGTGCTTCCATATAGCTACTTTTAGCGACTTCAACGTCAAATTAAGTAGCACCATAGAAGATGTTGCTGGTTAGAAATGTCTGCTGTAAAAGGTATAAATGATAGTGAAAACCGATCTTATCGTTTTCTTTCAGCAGCATTATTGTAGTTGAGAACCCAATTATGCAGTGCGAGAAAAAGCTTTCGGTTCGAAAGAAGAGTATCAGAAGTTAGAGTGAGATGGTAAAAAAATAATTAGATCATTTTCGACGAAATAATTTCGCTTCACTAAAGATGCGGCCTTGGGTGAACAGATTGAACAAAATAACGTATCCATCAAGAGACATCGAAACTGTCACGCCAAGAGGTGTTTACCACCTTTCATAAAAAGATTTGAACATCACCTTATCCACTACGATGGCAAAAGGAATGAGTCATTATTCCACTGTCACATCCGAAAGTCAAGTCTCCCTCAGTGTTGTCGTCTAAGGCTTACCACTCGGCGTATTCAAAACTATTCCAACAAACACGTTATCTGTAAAAGAAAATCTTGGAGCTGAAAATCTATAAAATGAGTGTGAAGGCACTCTTAAACAGTGGCACGTCACGCGCACTACTTTATTTTATTTCTTATGACCCGTCTTCATATTTGCTGTTCGGGTTCTAGCATTTCTCACATTCGCTTCGTTTCCTCACATCTATCATTAATGAATACTGGGTTCTTCCAACTCTTACGTGTGGCTTCGGCTGCTGCTTGACGATTTTCACTTCACGCTGAATGTCGTAGAATGCTGGTGTTGCAATTCTACCTGGAGTGCTGAGATAACTGGACTGGAGCGTTTCCAATTGGATTGCAGGGAGTGAACATTGTTTGGACAAATCCGGTACCAATTTTTCTATCTCAGAGTGATGAGATGCTGCTTAGCATCACTACCACCGTGCTATCTCCATTCTTAAAAAAAATTACGCGAATGCAACCCGTACGTAAAAATTTAGATGCTGGCTTATTTCAACTCGGTGCAGCCATATACGGGTCACCTCATGCGAAAGTGCAATTCACGGGCCTCATCACGGCTACCCCGAATTCTTGATCGCGAGAGTCTCCAGCCAGATGATTTGCCTATGCCATTAGAAGAATTGGATTTCAATGATTAGTTGTAAGCTGCGATGAACAAAGAAGTATGCACTACATGGTTATGGGGAGTGTGTTAAAAGTTAGATAGTTTAAACATGAAGCGAAATCGTGACAGCTTTTTGGAAAAGTCCACAGCTATGTTTTTCAAAAGAAACATTGTGTAGACGAAGGACGTTTTTAAATACGATGCTGGAAAACTACAAGGCTTTTCCTTTTCTCGTCGTAATGGGCGCTGTATTCAGGATTACCACCGACTCTATTTCACAGTCCGACATGTCTTGAAGTCGGTCTAGAACAATTAACCTACTGAACTATTTAAGCACTTCGGAGTGATGTAGAGATAAACTGCTGAGTTCGTATTTCAATAAAGTATATTTAAATTTATCGGGAAGGAACGAATGACAGGTTTCGCGTGACGATTTTTGATCATGGAATTTGCGTATCACCTAATTGTGAACCACTTCAGCTTCCGTATTCTCATGTATTTCGCCTTTCGATCATAAAGGCCTCAGAAATATTCAAGGCCATAAGCATCGAGAAAAATAATCGAATTTCAAAGTTACTTGTTTTTTGTTTTTACAAAGACAGATCTTTCTGAATATTGAGGGCGTTGGCGTTGGCGTTACTAGCGATACTCGACATGGCGTTTCTATTCCTTTTTGCTTGATTTTAGCTTTCGCAACTGTTCAAATTTCACCGGCTTTAGTTTTGTTGCGACCTCACTTACAATTTCATTCGAAGAGGCACTTGATGATTAAAAAAACTGAACTAACTAAAGAATCTAGATAATTTCAAGAAGCAATTAGTAGAAACCCTTAGTAACCACTAAGGGTGCGGCGTTTGGCGCAGTGGTTTGAGGCGCCCTGCAACACATATGTACGGTCGGCCGCTCACCTATGGCCCACGAAGCCTTCCTTTTTTCCGGGTTCAGCAAATATATACCAGACTTGTCTTGGAGGATTGCAGCATAGGCTCAATATATCAGTAAGCCACTGCGAGTCATTGTATTGGCCAGATATGCATTCATTCACCTCCAGACGATGTTTAATGAAGTCGAGTGCATGGCACATGCTTCACTGATTTAACAACGCTGAAAGCTTTATCCTTTTATCCTTTATGCTTGTAACCACTACCAGAACGAAAGGTGTAAACTGTGTAAAAGGTTAACTTCAACGGTCCATTAATAGCGAATCTGCTATCATCCATTTGCGATTATCATTCAAAACATGGCATAACTGGTGAAATACAAGTGCCAATGATAAACGGAAGTCGTTATACGAAAGTCGTCATACGTTATACGTTATCTCACTTCGCTTTGTGCTAGCTGATCGAACGCCGACTGCTACAGGATGGATTGCTTACAGATAAAGAATTTACCACCTATGGGCAGCCAGTCAACAACCGTTTCTATATAAAAGAGTACTGCCTATTGAGGCTACCTCACTATAGTGATACTCCAGAACAACTCGAGACGATGCAAGCATGGAGATCCACATCGCAAAATCAACGCTGTGGAAAATCTATCCGAATAATTGCAATTCTAAAAGAGGAGAAAACGGTGAAAATCGAACCGAATGGAGTGTTTTATTAACTCTATGTTAGCTTACTATTTAAAAAATGCATTGAATAAGACATAAATATCTTTGGAAAGAAAAACGTCCTAGCGAATCACTAAGATCTACACCGAAATATAAACATGCTGTATTAGTTTCCTCCTCTTCCTTGTCAAACCTAGTCTTCCATGTTTACGGGGTTCGCACATTGCTAACATATTTCCCTGAAAGGACGAAAACTCACTTTAGATTATAGTTATATAACACATTGGCTTCTGACCGCATCAGCTACAAGGCTGCTTTTCGAAAGATCCGAATGAAGGTTTTGTTCCTATCCATCTTGTACTTCCAATCACACAAGAAATTTCCACATACTGGGCATTGTTTCGATTTGTTGACTACTGGAAGTAATTAGAGCCAAACCAAACGAACTCGCACGCTAAATGCCATGGAGAAGGTCTCTTTCCTTCCACTAAAGACGGCAAAACAGTTTTCTCGAGCGCCGATCATATGCCTTTTCCCAAAGCTATGGATGATGTCAGTTCCAACCTAGTGGGTCTGTAGAAGACGAGCACCATATTGCTGGCACAGCCAGTTATTTAGCTGAGGGAACAGTTGTCATTCCGTTTTCCATTAAGGCATGTCATACGAGATTTTAGAACGGCACTTAGTCATTCTTCTTCTCCAACCTATGAATACGCTGCAGGTCACCGTCATCATGTGCTGCTCACCAATTCGTGCAAGTGATTAGAACGCACTAGATGCGCTTATTATGACTCAGAAAAAGTCACCCGCAGAAGAAAGGCTCTATAAACTCGTTGTTGGAGACCTATAATTCAGAATATGAATTGCTAACGAAAATGAATGAAAGGTTGAAAGATTTGAAATGCAAGAAAGAAATGAAAATGATTCCTCTCGTGGGAAGATTCGATTAAGTCATAAGACAGGGAATAACTCTTGTCGTCGCCTAAGAGGAAGTGAAAGGCAGGTTGTGCACGACGAAAGCATTTTCAATGAAAACCTTTCCTTATGTGACTGATAGATCAAAGAACACGCCACCGAAGACTGCGAGCTGCACGTAGCCAAGGATGAAAAGTTGGGTCGAACTGACCTCAGTGCTCTAAAAACGATGTTCTATCTGCCTCTTCTGTTGTAAGAAGTTGCTTTTAACGAACTGCTTGATTCTGCTGCGACACCTCAAACACAGAGTGTAATAAATACCGAAAATGCCTTTGATCATCCTTCCTAGGTATGATTGCTGTGAACGAGGTCCAACACTTTCCTGGTGCCTTCTCTTCGTGAAAGATAGATGTTATTTGGGTGGGAAAAAGTGCATGTAATGGCCAGTAACCCTAAGGAAATCGGCGATGATATTGTCGGATCCTGCACCCATGTCTCTCTTCATGCCTTCTAGCATATATCAACTTAAAAAGGAATTTTGGGAAAGAAGAGTTTAGTATGCAACCTTTCCGCCGTTGTTTTCATATCATGGTTATGTGCTGGTGTTGCCATCTCTTTTCATAAGGGCTGAAAACTGACTTTGTGAACTTTTTATTTACTGCCTGTTACAATTTTCCTGACTTTGCAGTCACACAGAAACCGACGAAACTTCTTTGGACTAGATCAGTTTTGAGCTGCTTCAAATAGTTCATTCGGCTTTTGCCAAAGCAAATCTCTTGTAAGGATCATCTATAGATGACATTCTTTAGCAACCGTGATGGGCGTGTTATAGTTGTATAAAGCTTCAGTTTCAGTCACTTCTCGGACAACGACTTAATGGTAGTGGAGTTGCAACTTGGAATTCATTTTTTAGATACTGAACAAAATTTAGCACAAGTTTTAAGTTCTTCGACGACCAGCTCATAGTCTTCGGTCGCGTGCTCCTCGTTCTATCAGCCGTATAAAAAGAGGATTTCATCGATTTTCGCTGCGGA